TAAATATTTTCCGCTAAGTAAAATTTATTCCCAGACACTTTTTGACTCATTGATTGAGGCGCTTGAGAGCGACCTATATGTATTTCGTCAAATGGGTGTCTTTAAACACACCTAATTTATTTTATGATTTCAAAATTTTGATACACAAATAAGATTTTTTAAATCACATTTATTTCCAAAATACGCTATATATTTTTTTTTAAATTCTGAAACCCTTTATTTATTATTAACGATCTGTCTTGACAATTCCCATTTCGTATCCTGTTTGTGCTTATTTTAAGAAATGTTTAATGCTCTGCTCAACATGAATATCCGATGATAGAACCCTGTTCATAATATTTTAATGTCTTTTCAAAATACTCTACATTCCTAATTCGTAAAATTTTAACCGGGCATTTTATGTGTACAAAAATTATTTCTTGTGACTTTTTTTTTAATTTACCTTTTACAAAATTATTCATACACATATTTGTATCGCATTTCTTAATGATTTTATTTTAACAAGGATCATTTATTTATCCTTCCTACATCTGGAAAAAATATTTTGAATTTTCCCACGACATTGTGATTGCGACCGTCGAAAATAGCTGTAAAATATTTAAGAATTCATATCTCATTTTTCATGAACAAATGACAAAATGTAAAGGACATTCGTAAAAAATGATAATTTTATAATAAGAAGAAATAATTAAATAATTATGGTCTACCAACATTGACATATTAATCCTAGAGGCGAAGCCACCTACATGATCATGTTCTAGTTTACATTTGAAAATAAAGTATATTATTTTGCTAACAGAACACATATGCAACTACGTACTATCATATGATTTTACACATAGAAAAAAATCAAGCAATGTCTTTACTTGAGAAATCCAGCTTCTCGGAACCAATGAGAGCTTTGGTGATCTCTCGCGTATTGATGAGCTTTGAAGTATGCATGTGATCCGAGTGCTTCTGTGCAATGATCGGTAAGGTTTTGATTATTTCATCGGCTCTCAAGAATTGCACATTATAACATTTACTCATATATTCGAGCTCATCACAAACTCTTCTAGAAGTAGGCCGGTTTTGTGGATTAGGATCCATGCATTGCCTCGCCAAACCAACATAATATTCGGGAGTCCCAGGAGTGAATTCTGGTCTCAAGCCATTGCAGATTTTCACAGCAAGACCAATATTAAAGTCGTAACCATCAAGCGGTCTTTTCCCAGTCGATATTTCCGCCATTATTACACCAAATCCGTAAATATCCGCAACTTTGGTAAACTTTTGACCTTGCAAAATCTCAGGAGCGACGTAAGGCATAACTCCATAAATGTGACCCGAACCATTTTCATAATACTTTTTAGACAGTCCAAGATCTGAAATGTAAGAATGAATAGTTTTACCAGCATGTAAAATTTGTAAAATGTTACCGCTGTGAAGGTCTGTGTGAATATATTCTGCTTTATGTATAGAATGTAAATCGTTTGCAATATTTTTAAGTTGCTCTAATTTGCTTTCCCAGGTAATGTTTTTAAAATTTGATCTTAAAAACTTATAAAGACTTCCGCCATAAGCATATTGAATACCATTAAATACTTTTTGGTTTTCGTATCTTGAGTTAATCCATATATTTCAAGTTTACTACCATACGATCTACATATGATATGATTTTTAAACTTTATTGATATAAGTAATTTACTTCATTATGTATGTTCACAATAAATGACAATTTAACTTACTTCTTTTAAAGAAGGTAGTGTCTTGAGTGCAATCATGCTAGATGGTTCACGTATTCCAAGGTATTGTCTTTTAATATTTCGTATACCGTTCAACCACTTTGCCGAATAAACAGTACTAAAACCACCTTCACCAATCTTCTTAATATTTTTTAGCTCATCGAATGAAATCCATTCGATCACATGTGAATACTCGGTGCTTCTAAGCTGAAACTTTTTTATGAAATCGTCAATATCCTTATTTCCATTTGTCCATCCTTTAATTAATCAATATATCTGGATCACACGTAAGACACCAACCAGATGTTGTGTTATATTTTTTACAATATGCACATTTTCCACTTTTTTTATTTCGATTAAATAAATCCTTTTCATTTTCATAATTTCGCTTAAATAAAGCATCTTCTCTTAACCAATATTTAAATTCATAATCGCAAGTTTCGGAATTTGTTCCGAATCCGTATTTGTAACAAATGGCGGTTTTCCAAATTCCGCTTGGATTACCGTTCAAGGCGGATTTCTTGTAATGCTTGAAACCTTCCCGCTCATTCTTTACGACTCCGATCCCCCAGTCATAACAGAAACCGGTCCAAAATAATCCTTCATCATCATTTAAATCTGCAGCTCTTTTATAGAATTTGAAGGCCTTTCGCTCATCTTTCTCAACACCAATACCGTACTGACATTGCCAACCCTTGTGGCAAAGTATTGCACCTGTTTGATCAATGGAAACGGCAAGAGCTTAGAATATCTCAACCTTTAAATATTGTAAATTCATACTGTATATTTATGCGCATTTACGCTAACAAATAAATGTACACTGCATTTCTATTTAAGTTAGAATATAGCTCACCGCTTAATTCAGCTGTTTCACCTGATATAATACCATCTCCATGTGTCAATTCATAAATGCGATTAATATCAGGGTTCTCATGCAAACGGCCAACCGGTTCTCCAGGTAATAATTTCGAAAGTATATTTGTCATTGCTCTCAGCAATGCCACAATTATATAAATATAGCCAACCCCTGTAGCAAGGTTTTGCACCTGTTTGGCTTATGATTATTGCAAAAATTTTAAAAGGTGCCATTATTTTAAATATAATCAGACCTTTCTAAATGCAACCCGCTCCCCTTTAAATACAATTTTTAACTTTGGACTACGTATTATATATCAGATGCAGCTTTTCATATTGTTCTCTAAATGCAAGCTATCAAAAGCTGGCCCCCAAGAGTTGCATTTAGTGAGATATAACTGTATATACTGTACATTTACGCTCATATTGTAACGGTTGTAATTGGGAGAGCGAAACGGTTATAGACAAATAGTGCCAATTTGAAACTCCAACCGATTACGGG